TAAGTTTTGTGTATAGAGCAAAATTCCTTCTCAAAACCAAACACACACTTAATCACTCCCATATTTGGTGAAAGAAAATTATAAAACGTGGGAAAATGAAATAGAACATACAGCTTTCTCATCTTCATCTAAAAAGTTGAAAATGCTCTGCTGTTTGACTTCAGCTCTGCTCTTCCGTGATGATGTAAATGACTGAGGCGCCCAACCTGCGAATATGTTTCACAAACCATAAGGCAGACTGAATTCCTTTAGCAAGTGAACAACAGCAGTCTAGTCAAAATGTATAAAGAGATATACCCTCTTTAGAGCCAACTGTATTGTAGTAACCAGCAGAAAATCCACCAGTAAATGCACCATGGAATCTTCTCCGTCCTTCTTCGTCTCTAACCTGAACAAATATAATTCAAATATGATAAAAATATAGTTTTAAATTGAATAAGCAAAACTAAGGATGCATATGTCATTTCACCTTTCCCATGAATAAGGACTAGGGTACTTTTAAATTGATTTTAAATTTTTTAACTTATTTCAAGATGCACATAAAAGAAAATTACTCATTTTCACTGTTACGTAACCTCTTTTTCTCTTCCATCCACCATTTTCATCTCTACCACCATGTTAGTGGATGCGCCAAAATGTGAGGTTTACAACATAAAAAAGAAAAGCCAAATTGATGGTAGCTGCTTTATTAGCTCATACAAAGCATGAAAAATGTCTTTGATCAGAATAATTCATTTTCCTGTACTTGCACTGTAGTTAGTACACAACCTAATAGCAATTGGCCCAATTCTCCTATACCGATTGAAACTATAAACCTTGGCACGATTGGACTTCCCAAAAAAACTGAACCAAAGTTTTCATGATTTATGTTCCTTGTCTGTTATGATATTCAAAGAATCATTAGTATTGGAGCCACCTGAATAGAGATATGGAAATTTCTTTTCTTTTTCAAAAGCGATTCCAAGACAAGTTGTTTAGAAAGAACTGCAAGAAAAGTGAATCCTATCAAAGGCTCCCATTCATATCAAGGAACTGATTTAGATTCAAATAGTACCTAAAAAACAAACAATATGCTTTGACTAGCTCAAGGATTCAAATTATACAAAGACACTGCCAATTGACAAATAGCAATTTTCTAAACAGAAAAATCGTAAACCAAACTTGAACAAAAAAAAACTAAGAAAATAAGAAAATGCAAGTTCCGTCGGCTTTCATTTCCCGTTTTCTTCATCTTCTTTTCCCCTAACTTTCTAGGCAACCAAACAGTGTTTAAAGGGACAATTTCTAGCTGAAAAAAAAAAACTAAACAGCACTCAACCTCGGATAGCTCTTTGGAAAGTTCAAATTTCTCACTCATAATCTCAGCCAAAAAAAATAAAAAAGACAAAGAAAAAGAGGATAAAAGTTATACCTCTTGCTTCCAGGCAGGGAGCGAGCGGAGGTTGCCAGAAGCTTCGGCAACGGCCTTTTTCCGACGGTTGGTGATCTCTTCCTCACGCTCTATCGGTGTACCGAAGAACACGTAATCCTCGTCGTCCGAATCCATACCTTGACTGATTTTGTTTGAAATCACAGAGATTTAATGCTATCAAAAAAGGACAGTTGTTTGATTAAAAAGGGCTTTGTTTTAGGTGAGAATTTTGGGGGCTTGCTGAGTTCTTGAAAGCTCTTGCCGTAGTCGGATGGGGGGAAGAAGAGGAAAGGGTGGGGAGAGCGCTGCCCGTTTTGCTATTGTTACATGTGGGCTCAGGCCCGGCTCGACCCAGTGAGTCACGTATTTTTTATTATTAAAATATATTTTATTTTAATATTTTAAATATATTAAATTAAATTTGACAAATCACATTTTATTTATTAATGAAATAATAATATCTTCGAGCTAAGCTTTGAATTTATAATGTTAAGCTCTAGCTAAACTTGAGTCGCATCTAGGCGGGCAACTCAATTATTGGACACCTCTAAGAAAATTAGAAAACTAAACTCAATTATTTTCTTTTCTTTTCTCTCTCAAATCATTTCAATTCTTCAATTTCATTGGATAATAAACCTCGCTTTCCTTTTATTAGTAATACCAGCTTTTACTTCACATACAATTTGCATGTAACTGGGAACAAGCTATAATAATCCTTTATGATCTATTTATTTATCTATATTTATAATATATAATATATGTAATAATGAGAAAGTCTGAAAATTTTATTGTTCAATATAAAGAAAAGTGATCATCAACATTTTATTGTTTAAGTGTGACTAACCGTGGAGGTGGAGGAAGAGGAGTGGTGATTTTAATTTTTTTAATTATATATATATAAATAAAAAATATATAATTTGTCATCCCTAAATAAATTAAAAAGTTAGTTTAGAGTAGTGGTAAGAAATTTAATCTAAATTTTAAATGTCTAGTTCAATCCTTTCTACGTTGCTCAAATTTGGAAATTATTTTTCTTGTCCTTTTTTCCTTAGTTCATCTAGGTTCAAGTTTTGAAATTATTTGTTTTTATTTTTTATTTTTGACTTAACTCATTTTTTGATTGAAAAAATATATTTAATTATTCAAGATTGATGACATTAAACTTGATATTAAGCGAGATTCATATTTGCAAAGCATTTCAACTTTTTCACAACTATACTAGTTAATGTTAAAGACAACAAAATTATGTTTAACTCAAATTTAAAATTATTTTTCTTTTTTTTGCCTTGGCTTATTTAGCCTTAAGTTTTGAAATTATTTTTTTCCTTAACTCATCTTTTGATTATAAAGATGGATTTAATTATTCAAGATTGATGATATTGAACTTGATATTATTCGACATCCATATTTTCAAAATATTTAAACTTTCTCATAGCAATGCTAATTAATATTAAAGATTAAAAAATCAGTTATATATATTTTCTCTTAAATTGTTTAATTGCATATGAAATATGAATTGAAGTATTATGGACTTAGGTAAGATTCTTGTTTGCAAAATGTTTCAACTCTCTCAATATGCCAGTTGATGTCAAGGACAGAAAAATCAATTGTATATTATTTTCTAGATCAATTGGTAAAAATAATTTTCTTCCTAATTCATTTATCTTTTACATTGAAAAAAAGATTATTAAAATCATTGGCACGGATTTAGTTATAAATGAATTTGAAAGTATGAAATCACATCGAGTATAGTTTATGATGCCTAGTGTAAAAATTTAATGTTATTTTTTTATTTTATGTCTATTTATATTAATGAATCAAAAAATTTATATTTAAATTGTTAATAAATGTTTATATTATAATTTTATTTAAAAAAAAATAATTAATTTTTTATTGTGAATCAAATCATTAAACCTAATTCATAACAGTATATAATTACTTGTCACCCTTTATATAAAATTTTGACTTGACGACTAATTAACCACTTCTCAAAAGAAAAAAGTGTGACTAACTATTGATTGAATTTATTTTTATTAATGAAATCATATACTTGACTTATATTCATTAAAAATGATAAATTTTAATTTATTAAACAAATTCAAGTTCGAGAGTACAATTATATACAAAGATTATTGCCTTTACAAAGCTTGTTTAACAATGATATCAATTAATCATATATTATTTTATTTTATTCTTAAAAATTAACTTTAAATTTATATTTAATTTTTATTTTTATTTTAGTTTCGTTTAGTCTTTTTAATTATTGGAAACGTTTCTTACTTCTCAATATTTTCTGTGAAAACTAATTACAATTGTATCTGATCCAACATCACCAACAATTTTAAATTTTTTTCATAATATCTTAAAAAAATTTTAAATTATTTAACAAAATTTAATAAACCATTATATTTTTATTGCGTTCAGTTAAACTCTTATACTTTTATTTTAAGTAAAATAAACTTTTATATTTTTATTTTAAATCAAATAAATCCTTAATCAAAATGACATTTGTCATTATATGTCGTATTACATTAACGTAACATATTAATATATTATAATTAATGATGATATAACATGTTTACATATCATAATTGATTATAATGTGACATGTTAATTTGACATGATAATATAATAATTTGATATTTTTCACCTTCTACATTAACGCCATATATTAATATCAAGTAAATATAAAATGATAAGTGATATTTCTACTAATGATGATTAGTCAATCATTAGTTATAAAAACTTATTTGACTCAAAATAAAAATATAAAAACTTGATTGAATATAACATAATAATAAAGGTTTATTTAAAATTTTTAAATAATTTAAAATTTTATTTGAGCATTATATTAATTTTCAACCTTAAAATAAATAAAAAATATAATTTCTAACAAAAAGATAATAAACGTATGGAAAAAAAAAATTGCAATATACGATATTTCAAGACATTCCATTGGTATAACGTTAAAAGTAATTACATAAAAGAAATTTTAAATATGAATTGTTATGTGGACAATCATATTTGTAATAAATATAAAAAAATCAAATTAGGAGTAATTGTTAAAAAAACAAATTAATAGTAATAATAGTAATTAAATGCTGTGTGAAATAATTCCAAACGAAAGCAATGGAATCAATGCGAATTTTATGATTGTAAAGTTTTTCTTGTGCTTGAGTTTATGCTAGCAAATGTATTTTGGGACGATAATATTCTTTTTAATTGAATTTTTAATATTCAATAGTTATTTGTATATTATTAAGAAAACTATTACAAATTCTTACTTAATTTATTTTGAATATGTATTAATTAAATATATAAGATGTACAAAAGAATATAATCATATGACTTTAATATATGAATATTAGATTTTAGATTAAATGGCTAATCGGTTGAGTGATCACTCCACTCTTATTCTTGCCTTTTTGGCATTTCGTCAAACACATTTATTAACAGACTTTATTTTCCCCATCGATCAAAGAAAAAATGGAAAAAAAATGATAAAACCTTAAAAACGAAACATAAAGAGAGAGATAAAGCCACAATCCTAAACGCGCTTAAAAAAGGAGTTTCAACACGCACCAACCACCAGATCCACTAATTGCGTGAATGTTAAAAGGCGCCTAAAGAAAGCGCGTGGAGTTCCCTTCGCACCACCTGAATGTGTGTGTTTGTTTTTTTCCTTGCCCTAATCGACTACGATCAAGAGCTCCCTCTCTTACCGTGAAGCGCCGTGACCTTCTCTGATAACTCACTATATCAAGCATGTCCTTCCTCTTGATCTCCCCCTCGACTCAGATCACGAATCACTTAACTCGTTTAGCGTTTTTCTGTCCGTAGAAATATTCCCCGTTCGTCTAGACTCGGTAACTCGGTGAGTCAGTCGCCTCTGCCGATTTCCTCCCTCTTGCGTTTCAGATCTGTTTAATCGCTGTTGGATTTTGATTTTTATCTTTTGTTTTGAAGAATTGAAATATGGAGCCGATGGATATCGTAGGCAAGTCAAAGGAGGACGCTTCGCTTCCTAAAGGTAATTTTTATTTCCTCTATTTTTCGTTCTAAATATCTGTATTATTTATTCTTAATTATTTGGTTAATTGTTTGATGATATTTTATTTTTTCTCTGAAATCTTTTCCTCTTTCCATTTTTGGATTTTCCTGTGTCCTAAATTTATGAATTTTAAGTAAGACTTGAATTTGCTAGGGTTTCTATTGGGTTTTGTCGAAATTAGCTAAAAATGGATAAATCTTAAGACTTAATTTAGGGTTTAGGGTTACCTATATGAACTCTTATGTTTTGAATTTACTAAATAAGTGAATAAGTTGCCTTTAAAAGATAGTTAGGTTTTTTCCGAAGTAAGCTACCAAAGGGTGGAAGTCTGTAGTAACCTCAATTCTATGAGGTTAGGCGAGTATGATTAGATGAATTTAAGAAAGTGTTACTTGCATGGTACGCCTTTCATTATGTGAAGGATGATTTTGTGAGATCTTTTAGCTTTTTGGAGGAGTTGTCAATCTGAATGCTTTGTGTGTAAGGTGTCAACTGACTTTCCAATTTTTTGAAAAAAAAAAATTGTTGGTTGGTTGTTATATGTTTTTGTTTTCAAACTTCAAAAGAGGTTCAAGTCAAGAGCTTCTATGTGAGGGTTTGCATAGTGCTGGTTGAGGATTGTGATGGCTTTGAATATGAGTGATAAAGTTTGTTTAAGAAAGGAATTGATTTAAATGCTGCACAGGGCATCATTGAGTTGGGAAAGGGTGCAATTGTTTGGACAATTGTACCTCAAACTGGTTGATGTCTTTGCCTTTCATGGTAAACTTGTGTTATATGGTGCAATGGAGTTTATGATCTAATAATCAGGCTGTAATATTTTTAAGACTTTACATGTTTCGCTTTTGCAACAAGGATTTATGATCTTGTTTTTCTTTTGCTTTTTATTGTTTTAAAAAAGAGAAGGGGGTTGCATACTTGTGTCTTAAACTAGCCAAAACCCTTCCTCATGCACATGCACATTATAGTAAAGAAATTGCCTTGCACCTCATTATGGTGGTTTACTTTTAGTTTGTTTCATTGCTTTGTGATGCAAATTAATTTTATATATATATATATATTTCTTTTTGCAGCAACTATGACCAAAATTATAAAGGAGATGTTACCCCCAGATGTACGTGTTGCTAGAGATGCTCAAGATCTTTTGATCGAGTGTTGCGTAGGTGAGATAATAAGTTTAAATCTTTCTTCTCTCTTTAATCAGGAAGAATTAATGTCACACATCCCTTCAAAAAAAAAAAAATTAATGTCACACGCTAGGTTTTATGGCCTCCATGTTTTCTTTTGATAGATAACATGTCAAATTTCTTTCTAAGATTTTTTATAAAGCTGAGTTGTTGATGTGTGTGTTAGTAATCACTTATCCATTATTCTTTCTCTGTGACTTCTTTTGATAGAACTAAGCTTTGTATTTGCACGTTAGTGTCAATTTATGTTATCCCAAACATATGAACTTTGAACTAAATTTTACCTTATCAATTCCCGTTGTCTCTATTTGGTCACTTTTGACCTATAAAGACCAAAGAACGAAATAAACAAATGCATTTTAATGCTGTAAATTCTACTTTCATCAGCCAAGCTTCATATCGTCTGAAGGTGATGGAAAAGGGAAAGTTCTTCTCCCTGGTAATTTTTATTTTTCAGTGCCTATTGTGTTTGTGTCTAGTCAAGCCAGATAGGAGACATTTGAGTAACTAGCCCTTGTACAATAGTAATTTAGAAAGTTGAACCAATCAGCTTCCTATAGATGATCTTGCAATACTGTTTTCTTGTAAGCACAGGAAGAGTGCATCCCATCATAGAAGTACTTGACCTAACCATACTAAGGATTCTACCTCCCTTGAGCTGCACTTTGAGAAATATTCCAAGATTCTTAATATTGTATCCTGGGAAAAGTTTCTTGGTCTCTGACAAGCCTTTTAGGAAGTTTCCTATAACATGGGCCTCTCCATTCATTTGAAAAATGCTTAATGAAATTTCTCAGCTTTTAGAGCTAGAAAGCCTCTAAAGTGCATTTATAGGATACCTGCTATCATTTCATGGCAGGAATAATTTTTAACTAAAAGGCTTGATGCCTGATTTCTGTCTATCACTTACAGCCCAGAGGGTTTAAAGCTCCCCATTATTTCTCAATTCGATGCCATGAATACCTTTGTTACTTTGGTATACCTTGAAATGTGCTTTCAGTTATCTGTTTCCAAGAACAAAGATTGCTATCCACCTCGTAGTTTGGTTTTATGACTCTTCAAGGATGTGCTGGAATTTACTCTCTACTCTAATTTATTTAAATAAAATGTTAGAATGAAAAGAAGATGGATGGTTTTTAATTTCAAAACATTTGCTTTTCAAATATGTGTAGAAGAGAAATATGGTATCCTCTTATTTTAAATTTTAAAGTGGTTTCGAACCTGAGTTGAGATTCATATAATTGGTAATTAGTCTCGTATGGTCATACTCCCAGTGTTTGTTGTGACATTGAAGATTTGGGTGGAAAAACTTTTGCTTGTTAGAGTGTTGTTTGGCAAGTTTATCAACCATCTATATTCTCTTGTAATTTTTTACATCATTTGAACTTTACTGTCTCTGACTACAATTCAATTGATTGTATTAAATTGTTTCTTGTAATTGATGAAAACTTTAATCCTTTTGCAGAGTTTATTAATCTTATTTCATCAGAGTCCAATGAAGTTTGTAATAAAGAGGAGAAACGAACAATAGCACCTGAGCATGTACTCAAGGCTTTAGAGGTTCCTCCCTCATCGCTTACTTTCTAGTTTTAATTTGGTTTTTTGAAGTGTGTTATTTTATTGTCTACTTCTTTAGTTTATTAGGATTCAAAAAGTAATGCCTTGTATAAGACTTTGCATATGCTGTTATAGTTAAGCAGTGTCTTTATGTTTGTAGGCACTTAGCCTGCTTCCTAGCTTAAGTTAATATAGATAGCCTGCTTCCTAGCTTAAGTTAATATAGATAGAATTTTACAAATGCTTTTACATTAAGAACTCAAGCACCATGTGGACGTGTTATCTATGTTTAATCCAGATATGAAGTGTCTAAGAAAGATATTTTTTTTTTGTCACATCAAGCAAAGCTTTTGGTGGCCCTCTCTCCATTTTAAAGATATGGCCTTAAATTCTTCTACATATTTCCTTTTCCTTGGCACTTTGTGGAGTAATAGAGGTAGCTCTAAGGAGAAGTTTTGTAAGTTTCCTTTGATGATTGAATTATTTCTTGCTGGAGATCTCTGTTCTTAACAACAATGATCCATAATTTGCCATTGTACACTTTACTGCCTTGAATTTATTTTGATCATGCCCTGTTTTAGTTGAAAGAATGCAGAAAAGATTTACGTGTTATATGTTTGTAGTAAAACTTTATGCATGCATGTGATTTGTCAGGTTCTTGGGTTTGGAGAGTACATTGAAGAGGTATATGCTGCGTATGAGCAACACAAGATTGAGACCATGGTAATTGTTTGTCTTCTTGCTCCTTGTTTGCACTGGGAAACTGGATTGTGATGGTTTCTTTAAAAAATGAGATTGTGCAGCATCTTGCATCTCTGCCCCCCTTTTCTTTATTTTTTTTCCAAAAATGACGTTATTGGAGGCAAAGTTTTTTTCCTGGTTATGGACCAAGAAGTTGGAAAATCTTGTGCTACTTTTTTTCTGTTGGAGTCTTGTTATCATTGCCATACAACTGGTTTATTGAATTAATACAATACAATACAATAGAATACTTCATTTTGAATTAGGTTCAGTAACAGGAGCACAGTCCAACAGAATTCACTGATAGTATTCTTGAAATGCTTTTCAGCAGGACTCTTTGAAAGGTGGCAAGTGGAGCAATGGAGCTGAGATGACTGAGGAAGAAGCAGTGGCAGAGCAGCAGAGGATGTTTGCTGAGGCGCGGGCGAGAATGAATGGTGGGGCGGTTGCCCCTAAGCAACCAGATCCTGACCCAAGTTTAGAGAGCTAGCCTTTTAGGAGTTAGTTTCATTTATCATAGGCAAGCACCCTTGAATCTTCCGATAGGGTTTCTAAGTTCTAATCTCGTATATTATGTACAAAAATGCCATTGGTTAGTGCAGCACTTGCCTATGTGGATATTTGTACCCTTTTTATCTATGGATGCTGTCTGTAACTTAAAATGTAATGTAATTAGTGAGAGTTTGTTCAATTCCATGTGTCCAAACTTTTGATGTGTATATTTATCAAATCAAATCAAATCAAATCAAATCAAATGTTTATGGGGACGTAACAAAGGCAGGCAGGCAGAGCAACTGACTTAAAATGAATGCAATGCTATCGCTATGTGTCTCAATTTCCAAATTCTCCACTGCATAAATCAAATTGAAGCCGCACTTGGGGTGGAGAGGGCGCAGCGAGCTAGTGCTGTGTCAATTCCTGTTGAGACATGTACAAAACGGGGAATGTGAGGTCCCACCGACAATGAGGTGTCAGTTCGTAGGTTAGTGAAATGTTGACTACTCGCCCAACACTAGGGGTGAGAATTCAATACACAGTAATCAAGGTGAGGGGGCTCTGTTTTTTCTGAGGCCAACATATCCCAGGTGGGCAGCCCAGGTGCTCCTTTAAGCTACAAGACAGTGGGCTTTAGAACAAACCAACGATGTGCCGTGGCTTGTGACCCTGCCTCGAAACTTATGGCTTCGTTTCTGCCTTGTGTTACCTTTGGCTGACTGCCACCCCTTTGCTGCTTTTGGAATCGAGTCAAAAGAGTCAGTCAAGGAAAATCCTTCTCTCTCTGCCCCACCAAGAAAGTGAAATAACACACATATTGTCCCCTTAGATTCTTTTCCTTTCTTTCGTTTTCTTTTCTTTTCTAGTTTTTCATACTACTGCATACTCTTTCTCTCTCCACTTCCTCAATCAGCTGGTGGGGTAGCCTATGTTTCTTTTGTCAGGATTCTCTTGCATTACACCAAAGGGCTGGAAACAAAGAATTAAATTGAAAGCCCCACAAATCAGTAAAAGATAAGAAACCAGAATCTCTCTCTCTCTCCTCTCGTCTCTTCTCTTCACACCATCTTAAAGGGGAGCTGCCCTTTCCCCCATTAATTTTGTAATTTCTCCCTTCACAACTAGCCAGTTATGTCAAGAATCTCTCAAGACTCCTCCAAAAGACACTTCCACTGGACTAAAAAGGTTGGAACTGAAGATGATGATGAAGCTCCGACCTTCAAGTCCTCTTCAAACTCCAATGAGGAAGACAAAAGGGAAAACCTTAAGAGCCATGTTGCTATGCCAACACCAAGGAAGAAGCTTCCAGCAGTTGCCGTTGCCAGGCTTCGATCTGTTCTTACAGCTTTTGGAAAGAACCGTTCAAGCCTGCCCTTTGGTCTCGGACCCCGAGTGGTAGGTACCCTTTTCGGTTACAGGCGTGGCCATGTTCACTTTGCTTTTCAGAAAGATCCCAATTCCCCACCAGCTTTCCTTGTTGAACTTGCCACACCAATTAGTGGATTGGTTCGAGAAATGGCATCCGGGTTGGTCAGGATTGCTCTGGAGTGTGATAAAGAGAAAGAAGAAGAGAAAAAGGCAGTGAGATTACTAGAGGAGCCCGTATGGAGGACTTATTGCAATGGAAAGAAATGTGGTTTTGCAACTAGGAGGGAATGTGGTGCTAAAGAATGGAAGATTCTGAAAGCTGTGGAGCCAATTTCAATGGGAGCAGGGGTTTTGCCAGGTAGTGGAGCTGACGCTGGTGCTGATGGTGAACTCATGTATATGAGGGCTAAGTTTGAGAGAATTGTTGGGTCTAGAGATTCTGAAGCTTTCTACATGATGAATCCTGATAGCAATGGAACTCCTGAGCTTAGTATCTATTTGCTTAGAGTCTGAAGAAGTTGCCATGGAATGCCTGAGCTAACTTCCTTTTCTGTGCGTTTTGACTTTTTAAGGGTATACTGGTGATATTTGTCTTATTACTCTTTAGAGCCATGGAAATGGATCTCTGGTTTCTTCCAGGGTTTTTCGTCCTTTTTTTTTTTCTTTCTTTCTTTTTTGGGAGAAATTGGAAGTGGGTTTTTACTTTTATTGTATTCTGTTAGTGTAGGTGGATGGGCAATACATTATAACATGAAGCTAGGTGGGGGTCTTGAAGGTGTATATGTATAGTTTTCTTCTTCAACCTTTATTAAGTAATGAGACATTGAGCCTAGTGCAATCAATGATTATCTTTTGCATTTTTTGTTCATTTCATTTTTTTTATGTATCAAAACAGCCGACTTACTGTAGAATTTTCTTTCGACATAGTAGTAAATGACCCAGAGGGGGACACTCAGCTATAAAACAACAGGTTTTTTTCTTTCCTTCCTACACTAGTTTTCTTTCTTGGCAAAATTTATCTTTCTCCTAATAGCACTTGCCCACTTGAGAATGTATACATCCCCACTTAAACCATCAAATTCTTAATCCAACATTCTAGAAACCCCCCAGTCTCAGATGGGTCTAGAACAAAATTATGTAAGTGTTATTAAAAAAAATAAATTTGAGTGACAATTTGAAGAAAAACCCAGAGCTTCTTCTTAAGTTGACTCCATTACTGAAGTTGCACTAATGCAATTCATGATGGAAACAGTACCAAGGAATTCTTAACTTAGAGCAAATGGAAAGTGCAAAAAAAAAAAAAAATCAATGTAGATCAAATGATTGGGTGCACATCTTTATTCATACGGTTAATTCATGTGGTCAAAGAGCTAAAAGTTTTTGAATAGGTTATCGCATTTATTTCCTTAGGTGTTTAATTTGTGGAATAGCTAATAACATCAATGTAAATCAAATGATTGGTGCCATCTTTATTCTGGTGGATTATGCAAATGATTGTTCATGATTTATCTTGGGGATTTCTTCTCTCTCTCTCTCAGGGGGGAAAAAAGGGTTGATCAATGATAAGTTCAAAGTCTTCCCCTTTCTTCTTTAACACTTCCTTTCCCTGTTTAGTTATGATTCTTTGACAATTGCTTTAAGTTTATACATGTATACAAGCAGCAGCCATACATACATGGAAATAAATTGTTTTGAAATTCCAGCATTTGGTCTAAAGATGCAAGATGTCCCAAATTCCCAATCATTGCTTTTGGGTGCACAATTTTGTGCGGATTGATTCCTGGAAAATTTATTAAAGCCTAATCATAGAAGTCATCAAAAGCAAAATAGTTTACACACCAAAAAAAAAAAGGAAACCCAAAACAAGAACAAAAACCCAGTTCCTGACAGAAGAATGGCCTTTTTCCCTGTATGTTGACTGCTTTTCACTTTTTTGATTTCCTGCCGGTTTTTACAAACTTCAGTCTTACATGTTGTCCAGTTTGTGAACCTTTTGTAGCTTCACCACTCAAAGTACATCCCCCACAAAGTCGAGTTTACATGAAATCATCTCAAATCCCATCTTAGTAGATATTCTTTACAATGGGTATTCTTTTTTATCATCAAATATGTGTTAAGGAGTTTGAATTTGAAGGCGAGGATAATTATCCAACCTTTTTTTTCTCTTCTTCAGTCCCAAAAAGGGCTATGTTGTTCCACTATACCCTCCTCCTAGTTTCATGGCTTTCATACCCGAGCAAAGTAAGGATGAAAAACAAAAGAAAAAGGAGGCGAGTAGTAGCCCCGTAGGAGCATTTTCCCACAGTGGGATGTGGGTTACAGCTAGGACCAGAAAAACAAATCCGTTAAGATTATACGCACAGAAATCGAGGGTGTGGTGTTGTTTTTATTTTTGATCATCTACTTATCATTCTTCAAAAGATTCAAAAGTTGCTTGCTGCTGCACTTTATGTTCGGCCACTCTTTGCTTTGCTTTACACCATTATTACTCCATTGAATGCAGACTTATAGCCTAAAGTTTTGCCCCCCTTGCACATTTTGTGCAGCCAATATACTAAGCCAAATTGATCTTCAGCTTTGCATTATTTTTCCTTTTTTGCGGCTTTTCTATAATTGTGCTACATTATTGCAGGCTATGTGCCAATGCCAGTTGAGTTCAAATAGAGGATGGAGGTTGGACAATGGACTCGTGGAGATCCCCATCCAACCTCACAAGGCATTATTCATTTTTATACGAAAGACTCGTATTTTTAGTACAAGTTTTATTTGATGGGCGAGGCATGCGCTCGTGGTACTACACTTATACAAGTGATAACAAGAAGCAATAATGGAGTAAAAAAAGGAAACAATACAGAGGGGTCTGAGGGTTTACTAATTTTTGAGAAGAAAACAAGTAAAATGACAGATGGGGAAGAGCAAGCGTGATCTCCTCGAGTGCCAAGACAATATATTTTTGACAAAAGTAGTTGTCTTGTATGCAATGGAAAAGCAGACACTTTGTGTCATTTTCCTGAGTAAAAATGCAGATGAAATGTCCATATTTGTGGGGAAAGCACGACAATAATGTCCCAAGGGCATTTCCCTAGCTGCTTCTTCCCCAACACCAAGCTGCCTAGTTGGAAAAACGAAGTTTGTTGCAAAAGCAAGATTAGTGGTGGGGAAGATCATCAAAATGATGAGCTCAATTAATGAATTCCATAGCCATAGCTATAGCCATAGCCAATAGGTGAGGTTAATTAATTAGTGGGTTTTTACATATCCCAAAGTCTACCACATTTTCATGATACCATAAGGAACAAAAAGTTTTATCAAGTGACATCCATAATTTTCTTATTCCTCATGATGTTTTCTTGCTTTTAATCCCGTCATGACGTTTTCATGTAAAATTTTGGACAGTAAACTACACCTGTCTGAGTAAGCATTTAGCTTAATTATTAATTAGCAGGTGCAAATATTCTTACTTAGGCTTGCCAAGTGTAATATATATGATCTATAACTAATATATACAAATTAAGCCACATCTTAGCCATAATTTCTCACTAAACTCCTGCATACCGTCAATAGTTTTGAACTGTCCCTTAGGCACGGCATGCTTGAGATTATCTTCTGGTACAGTAACTTTGGTCACATTATCCTCAATACATCTCTGGGTAATGTGGTCAAGAAGACTAATCTTGGACCTTAACAAATATAAGCGTGCTCCGAGTAGACACTTAAGTATTTGGCTCATTGATTAATGTATAATATCTTTACTTAAAGATAAGGGTTTGAATCCTCCTCTCTCAATTATAAAAAAAAAAAATTATGTTATTATGAGCAAATCCGCAAGTTGATCTCTGCCGGAATCGAAACATGACACACTTGGGGCTATTTTTTTATCAACTTTTACGTCTCAAAAAACATGGAAAACAAAACCATAGGTGTATACTTCATGCGGGAGTAAAAAGATAAGATTAGAACACACATTCGAAGGTAATCCAACATTGGTCTCTAACCTTACAATTTTTCTTTGAGGAATGACATTCTCAAGATTTGTGGTAATGTGATATCTACAGTAAGAAAATTAAAATTATTTTTCATTAATCAAACGCGAGAATACCCTAAACCCACAAATTAAATATTTAAATTTCTAAGAAAATGATTCACTTTCCTACTTCCTAACGGCTCATAACAAAATCTAGTAAGGATAGTCCTTGCATAAGCAAAAAGTTTTAGTCACAAGGGCTAATGCAAAATCATAAGTTGTAGCTTCTACATTCTTCAATTCGATCCCATGTCCTAAATATCAAGTGCATTTACCAGTGAGGAAGCCACTGCGATTAACGAAAATAAACACCATTTATTTTGTTCATCAATAGGATGTCAATGACCAAGTTTTAATCAGTTATCTATCTAATTAATGTGGTTTTAAATAATTATAAATGGATCCAAACAAGTTTTGGGTAGTAAAATTAATATCAAACACAATTTTCTATAAGATTTAGGTTTGAAAGTTAAGATATTTGTTATCTAAAACCGTTTATATATTAATTAATTTGGATGTGGATATCCAAAAAAAAAAATCGTTTAAAACCTTACGGTAAAAATTTTTAAATTCTTGCAAATGCCATGGTATGTTATAATTTTGTTATAACTTGACAAAGTAATATATATGATTTTTCTTTAAGTATTGAAATTATAAAACTTGACAAAGCAATATATATATACATATATATATATATGATTTCATAATGATATTTCATTTCATATGTAATTGTTTTTTTTTTGTTTGAATTTAGAATGAGGTCATCAATGTTAGGTTTATTTTGCAAAATTAACAAATTTCTTTACTTTTCTTAATACATTTGTAATATTATATTATAATTTGTAAAATTGAATTTTTGGGTTGAGTTAGATCAAATTTATGTTTTAAACGAGTATCTCCAAATAAATGATTTCAAATAATTAAAAGATGTCACTAGTATATTTCGATTAGGTTATGGAAAGTTAGAATGAAATTTTAAATGATTTTGTTTAGGCTTCAAATATCTCAATAATAAAGGGTTTAGATCTTGAATATTTCAAAATAAAGGGGTACTTTATCCACTGTCATCCCTATTGGTCAAGGTATAACTACATCATAAATTACTATAAGTATTTTGGAGTAGCACATAATATTGATGAGAAACAAACATAGTACTAGAATATGTTAAATATAAGCAACACGATGAAAGGTTCTGGATTTTTCTTTTTTGATAAAATATTCACTTTTTTAATTTTTAATTATAATTTTATACGAGTTTATTAATTTTTCAAATTAACACTCCGTTTCAAAAGTATAAACACCATTAACAAAATAATGACATAACTAAAATACTTTTTTATTCTCTCTTATATATTTTTTTTCGAACAATGTGGTCGGCCGGCAACATTTCCATTCTCTAGCCAACCACCCCACAATAGGTGCTCCTCAAGGGAGAGAGCACTAGATTGGTGTTCCCACCTATGTTTTTTTGTTTTTTTTAAACAAATATATAAAATAATAATTTTTAAAATTAATAAAAAATAAAATTATTTTTTTAATATTATCACGTCATTAAACAAATAGAATATTAATGATTAGACTTATGTGTCATAGTGCAATATATTTTTTTAGATGGAGTGTTTATTTCGAAAATTAATAAACTCGTTTGAATTTTGATTAAAACTTAAAATGTAGAAGTATTTTATTTTATTTTTTTTATTAATTTCCTTTTTGATTAAAGGTTGTAGATGATTCTAAATTTAATAAACACTTAACAGAGAAATACTGCTGTAACCGTAAGTGCAAATATGAGAATGGTAATGTGTAATCATTAATTGATGGTAATTTGCACCCATA